TGTAATTGTCCCCAAAATTTGAAATCATATAATAAATGGTATTTTTTATTAATCAATTATTAAGAAAATTAATAATTCATAATACTATTAAAAATATATTTCAATTTACAATTTTGATAATTTTATTATTATATAGAAGGGTGTTAAAAATTTTATTTTTTCTTAACTTTGTTAAATGACAAATTTTGATAAGGATTTTTTTGTAGTTTATAGAACTACAGTGGTAATTTGTATTTTATGCAAAACTCAATACATATATTTGTAATTTAATCTTATTATAATTTTTTTAAATTAAATAATTAATTTTTTAATCAAGTATTTGGACCAATATAATGGCATATCTACTCATTCTCTTTATTTTTTTTTAATGGCATACCTTAGAGTAACTCCAACCATTCTCTTTATTTTTTATTAGCTAAAATATAGAAAAGATAATTATTTATTTTGCCTAATTTTTTTTTTTTTAAATTTATGTACTCCAACACTACTATTTATTTTAGCTATCTATACACATAAACTGTTTAAAGGGCCTTCCAAGTCTCTTCAAATGTAGCTAGTCTTGAAGAATTTTATTAAAATAGTTATTGTAATAGCTAGCCCATTAGAGTGACTAAAATATGATAACAGGGGTGTTTGGTGGATTATAGGGGATATTATAGCTTATTTTAATTTGAAAATTTGTGCCAGACTGTTTGGTGCAGCTTCTGATTACAGCTTTTTAGGCCGAAATAGCTTAAATAAGCTGAGAAAAGTTAATTATTTAGAAACTGAGAAAGGGGTGCTTTTGATTTCAGATTTCTGATTATCAACTTTTATCTTACAATAAGTTGCATCAAATAGCACCAATGTTAGCTATAATAGCTAACAACCCTTATTTAAAGAGTTTATTGGAGATGCTGGCATGGGTGTAGCTTGGAGTCAAGGATGTGCTCCATCTAGGTTTCAGATTCAACTATTACTAAGTGCTATCAACTCATTCGGCCATGTCTGAGGGTTTTGCTTGAGATTTGTTCGATCTACATGAAGGGGCGCTTTGCATGGGTCTCGAGATTAGTCCAGGTGAGTGTAAACTAATCCGAACACCCAATCATAAAAATAAAAAAAGGAAAACAACCAGACAAATGTTCAATAACTTTAAATAATTCAAACTTGAGATAAATTTTCAAACCTTAAATCATACTCTAAAATATTTTTTGGGAAAATTAACAAAACATCCCTCTCAAATTTTTGGTAGTATGAGAAGTCGAATATATTTTTTCTTATTTGTTAAAATCCCTCAATAATATCATTAGAGAAATTTCAGTTCGATATAAAGAAATTTTATATTTATCTGTAACAAACTGAAATTTCTCTTTGAAACATTCAAATTTCTTTGTTAAAATGTTGAGAGATCTCAACTATTATGAAAATATTACATATCATTTATCTTATAAAATTCGAATATCAGAAATCTTAAACTAAAAAACTCCAATATTTTAACGGCTCTATCAAATTTTGAAATTCATTATTTTAATGTAATTAATAAGGGTTTTTGTTGTTAAGGATTCATTAAATTATCGTACCTACCTCTACTATCATAGAAAATAGGAAAAATTATAAATATATTTTTCTAAAGACTAAAATATCATTTTCTCCAATTATCTCTATTTCAATATTATATATATTTCATAATAGAGTTTATTTTAATTTAATATTTTTTATCACAAAACTAAATGCATTTATTTTAAAATAAAATTTCATGATTTTTTTTAAAAATTTAATGCTTTATTTTATAACAAATATAAACATTATATGCCCTTTATTTTTTTTGGATTCATTTTCCTTTATTATTTTTTAAAAATTGTTAGATTAATTTTCCTTTTTTTTCTTCTAATTTTTAGATTCACTTTCCTTTCCCTTTTTTTTCTTTTTTTTTTTAATTTTTAGAAAAAAAAAATAGAAAAAATAATAATTTTTTAGAAAAAAAATTAGAAAAAATAATAATAAATGCACTTAAAAATTCAAAAAAAAAAAACCCACGAAATTTTATTTTAAAATAAATGCATTTAGTTTTATGATAAAAAATATTACAAAAAATAAACTCCATTATGAAAAATATATAATATTAAAATAAAAAAATTGGAAAAAATAAGATATATTTATAACTTCTCTATTTTCTATGATGAATAAAACTGCATGTATACTTAATGAATGATTTAAAGTGATTTAATACATCTTTAAATTTCGTTTGTTAATTTTACATTTTAATAAAAAAAATTATTATAAATTACCACGGTACTTTCTTTATTATTCTTTTTATAAAAGTGAAAAGAGGTGTGTTATTATCAAAATTGAATCAATAAGACCAACTCATACCTGTCTTCCTTTTTTAAATCCTAGACATGCGCCGGTGATTTTGCGATGTAATTGTAAGGTAGGTTGATTGACTCGTACATACTCACAAAATCTCCGTTCAATGTGACGTTTTTCCATATTTTGCTGATATTTTTTAAAATTTTAAATTTTGTTTTCAAAACGGAGGACCTGGAGTGTGAGTGTGAGTGTGTGTGTGTGTGTGTGTGTGAGAGAGAGAGAGAGAGAGAGAGAGTGTGTGTGGTGTTTGCGTTATGATATATAGAACTCAATAACAACTGACAGAGTGGTGTTTGGCTCACCAATTCGGTACTGTAATAACTGCAAATGCGGTGAGATTAATACACGCACATAACCCATTCACATTCACGTAGAGAGAAAAGTGTTTGAATCGATTGATTTCTGAAGAGAGAGAGAGAAGAGAGAATTTGAATGGGCGGCGGCGGGGAAGGTGTAGGAGGGACAACGTTGGAGTTCACCCCCACATGGGTCGTCGCCGGCGTTTGCACTGTCATCGTCGGCATTTCCCTCGCCGTCGAACGCCTCCTTCACTTCACCGGAAAGGCAATCTCTCTATATCTATATCTATATCTATATCTATATCTATGATCAGTTCTGTTTTTACTCTGAATTTCAATTTAGAAAGTTTATCTATTTCACCCTATATATATATATATATATATGATTGCAGTATCTGAAGAGGAAGAATCAAAAGCCCCTCTTTGAAGCTTTACAGAAAGTCAAAGAAGGTGCCTAAAATTTCATGTTGTTTGAAATTATTGCAAACTGTATTCTCTCTCAATTTTGTTTCTAAGTCTAATTATTATATTATTTATGGAAATGTGGGTTGGGAGCAGAGTTGATGGTGTTAGGGTTCATTTCGCTACTTCTGACTGTATTCCAAGGCAGTATAATCAAGATATGTGTTAATCAGAGTGTTACCCATCACCTCCTTCCTTGTAAGCTCCCATCACAATCTTCTTCCCACCAAGGAGATTCTTCTTCTAACACCACTGAAACTACTTCCCATCATCGCCGTTTGCTCGCTGAACAATTACCCGGGGCCAATTACTGTGCTGCGAAGGTGATCGGATTATCCCCTTGCCTCCCCCCTTGATTCTGTTTTTGTGACGAATTTGTAAGAATTGTTTGCATTTGTGAACTTCATCCATATGCATTTGCTAGGCAATTTTTTATAATCAGAAGAATGTGCATGTAAACCCCATTGGCTTAGGCAATAAAGAATTACTGTATTGAACTGATCTTTTTTCCTACTCTCATAATTACAACTTTCTAATTCAATCCTGGTCTTGTTTTCAATCTTTATAAGTAAATATTCACTATATTTTATACTCTGTTTTGGATTGTCTCAAAACACACTTGTGTTGTTATTTTAATTCCATGATAAGTTCATATTCGGGTTGTTATTTTCTGTAGTCGCATATGAATATCCACATTGATAATTCTAATTACTATTTTCTTTTTCTTTGTGCAGAATAAGGTTCCATTGTTGTCTGTCGAAGCATTGCATCATCTACATATCTTTATCTTTGTGCTAGCCATTGTCCATGTGACTTTTTGTGTTCTCACTGTTGTATTTGGAGGGGCAAAGGTGAGCATGACATTTGTTTCTACTCTTTCCTCAAGCTATGTCTTGTTAACTTACCACATACAAACATTGGGGTGTGGTCCAATGGTCTAGTAGCCATACCTTAGGGTGTGGTGAGTAGGAGGTCTGGGGTTCGAGTTGATGGAGCATTGGCGGACCCTTCAATTGTAATCTAACTATACTAGCATACTAATGCTATGTTTGACACACACACAAAAAAAAAAAAAAAAAGGAAAAAGGAAAAAAAATCTTACCACATACTAGTTTTATAATCTTCTGCTGTAATTGTGTGTTTATCGTGACATAGATACGTCTTTGGAAGCACTGGGAAGACTCCATTGCAAAAGATAATTATGATACAAAACAAGGTGAGAGTTACTGCCCATTAAAGCTCAACAAAATTTGCTCTGTTTTTTTTGGTGACTATTTTAATTATGGTGTGTATGCACATGCCATGCACATATGCATTTACGTGATAGATTTTCACTCTTAGGAGTATGTTATGGAAACTGTTCAATATGGATCATATTTCTTCTACTAAAGAAGACCTGAATTCAACTAAGGTCTATGTTAACCGATTGATTGTGAAGACTTTAAGCAGTTGTTTGCTTCTGCTGTTATTATTAGAATTATGAAAAGAATACACTTTGGGAATCTGATTTTATTTATCAAAAAAAAAAAAGAAAAGAAAAGAGAATCTACTTTGGGAAAGGAAGAAGAAAATAAAATTGTGACACCAATGCTCTTGGCATAAGATAGTAAATATTTTGGAGCTTAATTGCTTTCATCCTGTGTCCTCTGTAAGTTTTACTTTGATCTGGTTCATAATACTTCTAGTCTGTGCACGTTATTTGTGCAGTTATGGAACCTAAGCTCACTGATGTCCATCAACATGACTTCATCAAGGGTCGCTTTCTGGGTATTGGTAAAAATTCAGTGATGTTGGGCTGGTTGGTAAGTTCTTATCCTCTTATGGTAGAATGTGTCTTCCATTCTCCCATTTTGCAGAAATGGTACTGTGTTTGACATTTCTGCATACCTCTGATCCTATGATGCCTAATGTTTCTCCTAAGACATTGGTTTCACCTTGATCCATTATTTTCTTTAATAGTAGACCTTCAAGATGATATGACACAAACTGGCGTAACATCCTAAGTCTGTTGTGGCTTGGCTGCGCCAGCCCTGGCTTGGTTTCACCTTGCTCCATTCTCCCATTCTGGTCTTGTTGCTTTGTATTTTAGCAATATCCAGTTTACAAATTGAACCAACTATCACTTAAACATTGCTCTTAATTGTGAAATATAAAATAATGTATCTTGAACTGTCTCATTGTTGGGTAGCTATATAATCTGAAACCACTTGAATGATATGCTTATTGTTTTCTAAAATGCATTGAGTCATACTTGTAATGCCTTGTTATGTTGTACTTTTCAGTATTCCTTTTTCAAGCAATTTTATGGATCCGTCACCAGATCAGACTACATGACACTGAGACTTGGTTTTATCATGGTAAGTATCTGATGTTGTGTGGTAAGTATCTGATGTTGTGTGGTTTGTGTTTGCTTTTATATTTGTTTATTTTTCTTATTGCTACTTCACAAGCATTTGCGTTAATGTCGAATATTATTTTTTTTTTTACTGGTAGACACATTGCAGGGGAAACCCAAAGTTCAATTTTCACAAGTATATGATCCGTGCCCTGGAAGATGATTTTAAGAAAGTTGTTGGCATAAGGCAAGTGATGACTGGGATTACCTGTTTAAATGCTACAGCTTCTTATGGCTTCTTTTGTTTGTTCATTGGGCATATTGCCAAAATTAATTATTTATTTTCTTAGGAAAAAAAAAGAAGAGTTTTTAGTGCTGGTTTTCCATTGTTTAGTACTAGGAGGGTATTGCCTAAAAATAGAATTTCCTTTTATTTTAATATCCATCTTTGTTCCTTTTCTTTTTTTTTTTTCATGGGTTAATGTCAGATTTGGTTGGTTGCAGTTGGTATCTATGGATATTTGTGGTCATCTTCTTGTTGCTGAATGTCAGTGGTATGTTACTTTCACTTTAAATCCTAATGCCAAATGTTGTCAAGTGAATTGATTATTTTCTTGAGCTTTAATTTTAGTTTCATGTTGTTGCTCAATGTTATTGGGGTTCAGTCAAATGTTTAGGTTTGTTACTCAAAAAGTGCTTGGAGTTTTCTATTTTGATTTATTTATTTTTAATTTTTGTGTGTGGGTGCTCAAATTAGATGGGAAGAGGTTTAGACTCTTCCAAAGTTACAGTGACAAGTTCCTGAACACAAAAGTTGGTCTCCTCCCAAATTTCTGGATTCACCTGCACAAATCTCTGTGATATTCATTATCCTTTTTTTTTAATTTGTGTCATTATATTATTGTTTCTGGCTTTGGCACATGTTAAGATATTTAGATGAAAAGTGATTTATTATTTTGTTTTGCAGGGTGGCATACCTATTTTTGGATAGCTTTCATTCCTTTCATCGTGAGTTGTTCTAATATAATCTGCGTACTTGGTCATGCATTTTTTACCTATCATAATTGTCTTCTCAATGTTTTATTTTACTCCTCAAAAAATTATGTTCAATGAATATGTCAAATTTTTTATATCTTGTGTTTGCTTGCTGTTTTATCTGAACTTGTATAAAATCCTTTGAATTTCAAGTTTCAATTCCCATAAGACGTATTTAAAATTGTGAAGAGCATGTGCTCCACCTGTACAATGTGATCTTTGAGTAGCTATTTTGTCCTGGGAGCATGTTATAGTGCTTGTAACATTTTACTTATAGCAAATGAACAATTGTGTTTCTCTTGCATGTTTGCTTGGATTTCCATTTTGGAAATCAAGTACCGAAAATTTTTGGTTGTGGGTTGAGAGAGCAGCGTACAACTGTTTGATGTATTGATAAGTTGTAGCATGCTCTGACAATATGTTCTTTCACCCTTATTTTTTATGCCCATAACTGAGATTCATTCATTGACAGTTACCATAGTTATGAAGCCTGTTAACCAATATTTAACTAATGGTGGCATGAATATAAGCTATCAAACAACTTTGAATTTCAAGTGCGATGGCCAAAGCCACTTGAAGGGCGTAATAAACTAATAATTTGAATTGCACTCCCATCAATGAAGTTACCAAGCAAGACAAAATTCACAGAAACCATCAGATTATAAGAAATAATTAACTCAAATTTATTTTAGTACTTTATATTTAAATAGTAATTATTTATATTTACCAAAAAACAATTTGTAGTTGACACTAATCTCCAATATTTATTCATATTTCAACTATAAATAACGATGGTTCTGTCTATTCAATGCTACTGTATCTGATGCATCTCTCTTTTTTTTGGTCGAAATACCTGATACATATCTTAGTATTAGTTAACAAGACATGGGAACTTTATATTCTAAAGCACTTCCAATGACTTGTCTTTATCTCTCTAGTTTAGTATCACTCGCATAGCTGGTCAGTTTGACATAGAACTTTAATGGCTAATGGGTTGTTCTTATGAAAGTGTTATTGTTTATGACGTCTCTTATATGTAATTATATCTGTTATTTATTTTTCAGCTTCTACTAGCTGTGGGCACTAAGCTGGAGCATGTAATCAGCCAGTTGGCTCATGAGGTTGCAGAGAAACATGTTGCAATAGAAGGGGAATTAGTAGTTCAACCTTCAGACGATCATTTTTGGTTTCATCGGCCCCGTATTGTCCTTTACTTGATACATTTCATACTATTCCAAAATGCTTTCGAGATAGCATTTTTCTTCTGGATATGGGTAAAGCTGATATGAAATTGCTTCTTCTCATTTTTCTTAGAACTAGTATTTCCAGATATTTTTATATGCTTGAATCACTTGCAGGTTCAATATGGTTTTGACTCTTGCATAATGGGACAAGTCCGTTATATAGTACCGAGGCTTGTTATAGGGTGAGAACCATTGACAGCTTTTCTCCTTGAATTCTTTCTCATTTTGGCTTTTCTAAATTTTAGTGTCTCTCTGAATATGTGTATACACACTATATGATGCATTGTTTTGTAATCCTAATTCGATTTGTTTACTGTTAAGAGTTACAATGAACATTATCATTTGTCCTTTTAGGGTATTCATCCAGGTGCTCTGCAGTTATAGCACCCTACCACTCTATGCCATCGTAACACAGGTAAGTTCAATGGCAGTCTAATGCAATAATAATATAACTTGGCATGTGATGGACAAATCTGATCCCATTTATTTGTTCTTTTTCACTTTATTTTTTTCTTGTGTGCGTGTGCAATGAAATGAAGATGGGAACTTCTTTCAAGAAAGCAATATTTGATGAGCATGTGCAAGTGGGGCTTGTTGGTTGGGCTCAGAAAGTGAGGAAGAAGCAGTTGAAGGCGGCAACTAATGTCTCTGTTGGAGGAAAATCTACTGATGGTTCAACTACGGGAATTCAGTTGGGAAGACTTGCCGGCAAGGAATCTGCACCAGAGGATATTTCGCCCACAACTGCTGCTGCTCAAGGACATAATAAATAAGATCTTCAGACTTTTGGAAATGGTAGTAGGCACAGGCTTCTCTCTCTCAATTTTAATTTTGTCGGTTTTGTGCCCATGATGGCAATATATCTATATGAATGATTAAAACTCGGTTGAATCTCAGGTGTGTATATTTTGTGGGCTTAATAGAAGTAATTATATTAATTATGTCAGCGATTTGCCCAGTTTTGAAGTATGGTTATTCCTCGAGATCATCTTCCTCTCCAAAACCCTGTAGTAATTGGAGCCCTGTGCACTCACTGAGTATGAGGGACCTAAATGATTTTTATCTGTGAAAGAAAACTGTCAAAGCTTATGAGGTTCTTTCTAATACATATTTCATACATGTATGTGTATACATAGTTATTTGGGGTATGAGCTACCTGGTTGGTACATTGTATTATTAATTTTTTCACATATATATGTCCTTACTTTATGTCATATATATATATATACACACACATATGCAAGTGAAATAAAACAATAAAAGTGTATAAGGTGATAAATATTATTTGTGGAAACTGTGTGGGTAATTTTCTGACCACACTGCCCGCCTAGTAATCAGCTGGAGAGCACCGGCAGAATAGATGGTTTCAACAAACCTGTAACAGAAAGAAAAGGCTCCGGCGGTGGCTCTTCCACCCGGGGGCACTCCGACGATCAAGTCAGTATATCTCTCAAAGATAATCAAGTGCTAAACTCACAAGATTGAGTATAAAACTGCATACCTTAAACCCACGGGGGTGCCTCTCTTTTTATAGCCAATACAATCTTAGTCCCAAAAGGAGCCTAGCCCTAATGGACTTAGGATTACTGCTAATCTGGGACTCCCAGTGAGATTAGGATAAACTCTCTAAGAGTCTTATCTTTATCCAAACTGTAATCTTCTCCCAATCTAGGACTCTTGTCCATATCCAAGTTGAGTTCCTTCTTCATTCTAGGACTCTTGTCCCTTATCTGCTTATCTCGGATTCCAATATCTTCGGAGGCAACCTCGGCCTAGCCAAGATGACCTCGGCACAACGACCAAGACACGTGGCACCTCGGCTGACACGTCGGCGTCACCTTGCCACGTGTTGGTACTCAGAAAATATATCCCCACAACTGCCCCATAGGTTCTATTACCTCAGCATTCTGAGGTGATGGAACCTACACTGTTCGTTCATCTATGACCCTCTGGGCGCAAGAACTTCTCGGCCGAGATTGTCAAGTCGATATGTCTTGTTTTCAAGAATCAAGAACTCGAATGAACTTTCCCACGCGCATGAGCTGTCATGCATTACTTCTCAATCGTTTCCTGCATACGTTTTATTTGTACTGGCCCGTGCATGTGACGCGCTTTTTAGCCGTCTTAATCTGTCTGCGCCGTCTGACGCATGCGGTTTTCCAGGCGCAATAAATGCCCTGTTTTGCCGCCGTTTCAAGTTTTTGATAAAACTTTTCTTTCCATCTTCATTCCTTTACTTTTGCATTCGATTTTCTGGCTCTCTCTCTCTCTAAACTTTCTCAAATCCGCCATTGCTCTAGCTCCAAGCTCTGCAACCGTCTTCATTCTTTCATTCCAGCGAAGCTTTCGTCGTCCTGTCTTGTCTGCAACCGTTGCCTTACCTCGGCGACTTTCATTCCGGCTTCATTTGTTCTGGTAAGCCTTTGTTCCTCTTATTCCCAATTTCTTTTATGTGCTTTCGTTTACTTACTGCCATTATTGCGCTGTTCAAACCTTTGATTTGCTGAACTATTCATCTGGATGCGTCTATTCCATGATTTTACTCATATCTTGAACACTTGCACTGTTTTAATACTTTTCTTGCCACTGTTCTTGACCTTTTACTTTTGTATTTCTTTCGCTTTTGAGAACCATACCTCTGTTCTTCGTTTCTGAAACGTCATTCTTTGTTTCTTGTTTTCTGTTTTTCCTTTCCAAATCTGTGCCTTTGTTCTTCATCTTCATAGTTCTTAGGCTTGGGATTTGTTTGTAGAACCTTTAATTTAGGGAAAACTGAAGCAAGCCATACCAATACTCTCCTAGGTTTTTGCCAAGGTTCCAATAACCCTTTAAGAATACCTTCTTTCTAAGACCTAGCCCTCTGATTTTAGGCCGACGTTATGGGTATGTGGAGATATAGGGTAAATACCCCAACCAAACTTGAGTACTTTAGGCAAGAGTTCTCCATCCCTGCCGATGTCCACCTGAGATTGGCTGGGGATGATGACTCCATTATGCCTACAGACAATACGATGCCTTTTCCTATTGTAGCCTTTACTGAATGTGGACTCCAGCTTCCACTTAATCCCCTTTTTTGCGAAGTTCTCCACTACTATAGGTTGAACCCCATGCAACTTACCATCAACTCCTATCGAGTGATTAACGGTATCATAACCCTAGCTAGGCAGGAGAACGTTAGGATCACCCTTGCCGATATACAGTATTGTTACACCATGTGCCCCCTTAACCTGAAGGAAAAAGGTTACGTCTACTACCTCAAGCCGAGGTCTACTGAATTCAAAATCGTAGCCGACCTTCCAGACGCTAACAAGGGGGCTGGAGATGATTATGTTATCGCTTCGGGAAATTGGGAGTTTGGTGCAGATGAGGACGCCCATCTCTACCCTCTTCCCCGATCAATTAAAGAGGGCAAGGGTAAGAGCCCAGTGTCAATATTTAGTTATTTCTGTTCAAGTCTTTAATACTTTCTGTTTCTAATCATTGTTTGTTTGTCCTGCAGATCTTCATCAGCCATCAAAAAGCTTCCGCCAATCCTACTTTCTGGGGAAGGATTAGAAGCTCCTAGATCTTCCAATCCAAAAACGCAGAGCCCCCCTGGTACTGAATTTTATCCCGACGTACAAGTCCACTCTGCCCGACGTTCTGAAGAAGAAGAAGAAGAGCCTCTCTCCTCTTACTGCTACAACTATAACCGCTTCTACATCCCGAACAGATCAAGAGTCCACATCCGACCCAACCAATCAACCATCTACTTCGGGCCCATACTTGATCCCTGTATCTGAACGGAAACGTCGGCGAAGACTCGTCAAAATTGCCGAAATGGGTCGCCCGAAGCCCGTTGCCCAAGATCTCATAGCCGACCTCCCAGCTGATGTTGATGCTGCACCAACCCAATCCATACCCCCACCAAAGCAAAAAAGAATAAAAAATGCTCAGCCTAAGGCCAAAGCTACTGAGGTTGAGGCTGAGGATGCTCTGCCCATCTCACAATTGGCAGAGAGTAAAAAAACTGCTTCTACTTCTGCAAAAAGGTCTGCTGAGGCCCAGCCATCAGAACCCTCCCAATCAAAGAAGCTGAGGTCATCGTCTGTGACAACCTCAGGTTCCAGAATACCAAAAGTCCCTTGGAGACCAGAGATCACTCTAGAAGATAAGCCTGTCCTTGCCAGCGACAGCGCCAATGATATAAACGTCGGCGTGGCACTTAGTACTGCTCTACTCCTCCCAGGCGATCTTGAGCGCAATGCCAAGATGAGTGAGTATGAGAACTATGCCTTTATGCTGCAACGCTTTGTCCAAATAAGTGCCTTTGTGCTGAAATTTGTTTTCTCTCTTACTTTGTAAAATTTTGTAACAATTTATGCCTTGTGTTCTTTCAGGCCATCCAACATGCCCACTCTCTTTCCATGCAAGCTTTTGAAAATCGGCAAAGATTGGCCGACATGAAGAAGGAGGTTTCTGCCCTGAAAAAGGAGAACAAATCTGTTGAATCAAAGATGAAAAAACTGGAGGACCAAGTTGAGGCCGCCACCAAAGCCCAAAGTCTAGCCGAGGAAAAAGCTGAATCTGCCGAGGCAATTAAGAAGGTCGCCGAAGTCGAGAAGAAAGAGGCCGAGGACAAAAAGGCCCAAGTGGAAAAGGAACTTCAAGATGCTTTATCCACTAAAGATGCCGAAATCAAGGCGGTCGACGAAAAGGCCTACGCCAGGGTATGACCGACGTTACTTAGGAGTATAAACTTCAAGTCAGGCAGGCATGTAATAGGGGCTTCTCCCTTGGTTGGATGGCCCTTGCCAAAAAACTTAACATTCCTGATGATTCGCCACTGCGCAAAGCCGATGCTATTCCTCTGCCGTTCCCCCCTCCTCCTCCATCAAGTCAACCTGGAGGAGAATCTGAATCTGAGTCTGAGGATGCCGATGAGGATGAGGATGAGGCTTTGGTCAGAAAACCAAAGGATGCTGATGGGGCTAAGTCCCCTCCTCAGAATGAGCAAGTCCTTGACTTGACTCAAGATGAAGAAGGTGATGAGGTTATCCCTGAAGCTGTTCCTGACACTGTTCCAGCCGACATCCATTCCGAGGTTAAGACTGTCGAACAAACTCTTCAGGAAATTGACGCCGAAATAGCGGCAGAGAAGGAGGCCGAGGTTGTATTTGATCTCCAAATCCAACAATTTGGAGGAGAAGACCCTTAGCTTTATGTTCTTCTTTTGCTTACTTGTATTTTGTATTTTGTTTTTTTCTTTATCTTTTTCTGAACAATGTAAGCTTTTGCGTGGCCGACGTGCCTCCCAATTTTGTAAATGTTAACTCAGCTTTCCTTTCATTAACGCTTGAATCTTTGTCTTTTCTTTGATTGCTTCTGTGTGGTTTCTATACTTAGAATATTTTGCATGATTTACATACTTCTTTCCTTCCTTGTGCAATCTTCTCGGGGTTACATACCTCAGGTGTAATAACTACAAGCTTTACTTTGGCAAGATACTGACCTGCAAACTTTTCATAAATTTCAACAGGTGTAAAACATACACTATTCAATGTCAACTTTGCAAACTTTTTCTTAAGTTTCAACAAGTATTTTCAACAAGTGAAGTATTTTCATAAGTTTCAACAAGTGTAAAACATATACTATTCAATGTCAACTTTGCGAACTTTTTCTTAAGTTTCAACAAGTATTTTCAACAAGTGAAGTATTTTCTTAAGTTTCAACAAGTATTTTCAACAAGTGAAGTATTTTCTTAAGTTTCAACAAGTATTTTCAACAAGTGAAGTATTTTCTTAAGTTTCAACAAGTATTTTCAACAAGTGAAGTATTTTCTTAAGTTTCAACAAGTATTTTCAACAAGTGAAGTATTTTCTTAAGTTTCAACAAGTATTTTCAACAAGTGAAGTATTTTCTTAAGTTTCAACAAGTATTTTCAACAAGTGAAGTATTTTCTTAAGTTTCAACAAGTATTTTCAACAAGTGAAGTATTTTCTTAAGTTTCAACAAGTATTTTCAACAAGTGAAGTATTTTCTTAAGTTTCAACAAGTATTTTCAACAAGTGAAGTATTTTCTTAAGTTTCAACAAGTATTTTCAACAAGTGAAGTATTTTCTTAAGT